CCCTAACCCTCACTAAACCCAACAGCCTGACCGAAACGGGTGACCTGCCCAACTCAGTAAGAGCACACCTACTGATAACCAGTTCCGACAGTATCAACGTATAATGTCCGGCTACCAACTGCGATCTTACCCATTAATGCCTTAACCAGCGGTCCGGAGCAGAAACTAGTACATGGTAATCGCCCACCCCAGTAGGGATTGTGGCTCATCTCTAATTTCTCCAAAGCGCTCGACTCTAGCACCGGAAGTGCACTACTGGGGCTGATGGCAGGCTCCCGAGGCATGTTATTAACTTACGCGAACAAATGTCAGGTCTGGTCGAAGGCCGCGACTACTACATCGTCGGCACTGACTGTGGTCAAGGTTGTGTCCTCGCATCTGTCCTATCTAAGCACGCGATGGTTTCGGTTCTGTTAATTACAACGAATGTCTCGCGTCCTGGATGCTAAGCGACTCAAGACGGTTTACAATCTAATCTACCTCGGTTCCTCTGTGCCCCCCGACTAACCAATGCCACCCGTAATATATCGTCCTTTTTACACATGCTGGTTTGAGCTACATTTGTGGCCCATCTGAAAACAAAAATTAGTAGACTAGGACAGTGGATGTTCGTTATATGAAGGCTGCAGATGAATATACCCTTAATCAAATAATTATGTTCTTTCCATAAAAAGTATCTTGCTGAAGTTAGTTTTCGGACAAATGCCGGCGTCTTTCATCCTTTTCCATAGCAGAGTTAGAAAGAAAATTGAAACACGCTGGCTATTCACACACTTCCCTGACTGAATCCGACAAATTTTCCGCCAGAGATGAAAAAAGCCTTTTGTTCCTTCGAGGACGTTTTTGTTACCGATGGTGGGTCTTTTTCCAGTTACTACTATTTGGTCCCTAGCGTTTCTAAATTTACTTAGTAGCTAAACCTTAGACACACAAAAACAGTTAATCATATGGTCAAAAGTCTGACTCGGTCACAAAGTTACACAGATTAACAAACCAGAACTTCCGAAGCAAGAGCTCCTACTTTTATAAAAGTAATGTAGTTTTGCACACTGCCTCGCATGCCTTATACGAACTAAAATATCAAGTTCTAGGCGGACGAAGGTTTTTTGGTAAACATTTCTTGTTTAGGGTAACGCCCTCTCGTATGTAAACGAGAAACCACTTAGATATGGCCTACGGTATTTACTAACATCAGAAATTACAGTAGGTAGGCTAACTCATGAAATGTCAAAGACTAATTAAGTAGGGTTGTGAAACTAATCATCATACAGCATAATTCTATAATATTTCCGTTACCTCAGGATGCCGGCTTTCGAACGAACTTCTTTCCGATTGCATGCACAACGTATACTCTGTAAAAAATGACTGCTTATGTAGCACTCATTTTTCTCATTGATTTTCGATTCCCTTAAGAATGCAATCATATTTCATAGAAAACATGCAGAAAAATATTAATTCCCTAGCTCATTCGGTAGGAAATGACGTCTCCTTCCAATTTTATACACGAAGGAAGGTTAATATTTGGTTTTCAAAAACTTTTTCAATTCCCAAATAATTTTGAACCCGCTCTGCCGTCACACCGGCATTCAGGGTTTCCAAACTACAAGCCATGCATTTTGCGCGTACGGAAAACCACACATTTCTCTACGGTATTAAGAGGAGACAATATGAGGTTCATAAAATTTAGCATTGGATTTGATCCATATTGTTAACTTTACAAGCAACATTGGTAAATGCAGAGACATGA